AGCTTGTCGAGTGGTTGTTGTTACAATAATGTCTAAGGTGTCCTATTTGCTTTATGTGGACTAACTCATTTTCTCCGATTCTCACAACCGCCAGACGAAGTAGGTTGGTCACTGTCCGCACCTTACCACTGTGTAGGAAACTGAGGCACAGGGACGGCCCAGGATTACACAGCCAGCAAGTGGCTGGGCCAGGTCTGTCGCCCAGGTGACCTCTCTCCACACCCCTCTGACCAGTACCGGGCACTGCGTCTCGTGCGACTTGTTTCTGACAATAATAACAATGTCTATGGGAAGAGGTATGAATGTTCATATGAACGGTCTCACGGTGCTTAGAGCTCGTACGGCATCACAATTCCCACCTGATCCTCGCAACACGACCTCCGTCTCACACTAAACTGGAGGACTGACGATTTAGCATCGCAGAACCAGGGAGCAAGAGGGAAGGTGCCAACCTGGGTCTCATCCTCACTGCTGGATGTGGCCGAAACCGGCTCAGTCCCCGCAGAGTGGAGAAGGGAAGTGAGTCGAGGGGAGACCCTGGCTGGGGATACAATACTAGTAATACAGTACTTGTCAGATGCGTCCTCCTTGAGTTTGGAATCCCCACTCTCCTCTTTCTCCGCCAGTCATTCTAGGCATCCCTGGGGATGGGGGGGGGGGGTCCCTCGCCTCTGCAGTAGTTCCCTCGCTGTCCTGAGCAGAGTCTGCTGATGACAGAACTAAAGTCATCCTTGACCTGGATGTGAAACTGTACAGACAAAAGTCCCCCTCAGCTTATAGCAAATGCCCAGAGACCTTTCTGGCGGGGTTATTCTCTCCGTCGCCCTGGCCCCAGTGCTGTGCCTTGCGTCAGTCCGGACTTGGTGAAAGGCTTCTTCAGTGCTGTGCTTCCCTTCCCCGGGGTCCTGTGGCTGAGCTGGATGCGCAGAACGACTCCCAGGGTGCTCCCCCTGGGAGCTTGTTAGAAATGCAGGTTCGAGACCCTGCCCCACCACTGCCGGTCCGAATCTCTGGGGATTGATTCTGCTTTAACGGGAGGCTCTCCAGGGATGGCGACCCACCATCTCGATTTGCACCAAAATGAGGGGTTTCCCAGGACACGGGACTTTCAGTATTAAAACTGAGACCGGTTGGCCACCCTGCCTATCTCCAGGTGATTCTTAACCTGGCTGCAGGCTGTCGAACAATGGACGCTGTGTGTGGTCAGCAGCAGCCACCTCCCCCCGACCCCTCACTCCCCCACTCCCGCCTCCCCCTCCTACCTCCCAGTTCTCTATCTTTGGATTGGGATTGTGCTCCCTGCCCTTTTCTTCAGGACACGATTGTTTCCCCAAGAGGCTACTTGGTCCTTCAAGCAGGTAGTACTCAGAGGGGCCCCCCCCCCCCCCCCCCCCCCCACCGCAGACTACACTCCTCACGGCCGAGTGAGGAGCTCCAGCCGAGGTCTTTCTTTGGAAACCGCTTTCTCTTCTGCAGCCGGGCACACATCTCTGTTGCCAGCCCGAGGAGCTGACATACCACAGACTGAGCCAGACATACCACGCACGCCCCTGGGGTTACACCTATGCCAAATGACCCTTTATGGGTTGTTAAGACAGGTATCCTAAGGATGAGGTGTCAGAACGGTGGAGCGAAAGGACTCCAGGGGCCGTTGAACCCGACTACTCAAATGTGTCCCACCTGGGACCTGGGGAGAACTGTAATGCGAGTTACTGGGGCCCCTCCCCGGGCCCACTGAATCAGAGCATGCAGTTTAACAGGATCCTCAGGTAGTTCGAATGCATTTCTAAAATCTGAGAAGCCCAAAGCCCTTGTTCCCCAGAAGAAAAAGACTGAGACCCAGCGAGATTAAGTGATTTGCTAAAGGTCACTCATGAATGGGACTCAGCTAGATTTGGGATCCAGTTCCCACCCTCAAGTCCAGAGCTTGCCTCTATACCTGGCTGCCTGCCTACAGGGCCGTATTTTGTCTGTCTGGTTCTATCTATTGAATGAACTTGAACTGAATTAAATGTATTTAAAAATGCTTTAGATTCTGTCCTTCGCTAATTCAGACGGGGCTTCCTTTAATTTATCTGAGAGGGCGGTACTACTTTGCTTCTTAATTTCTTGTGTGTGTTTATTCGATTCACTTAGCAGTTCTATGAAGCAATCCTTTTCCACATGATCTAAGTTTCTAGAACTGGAGGTATATAAACGCTGCCATCTTTATAAAGGCAAGCATTCTATATCAGGAAAACAAACATTTTACCACTTTTTTGTTGATTTTATTAGATGATGTTTCTTCCTGTTGTACTGTACACACACACTGAGGAAAATGCTCGTCATTTCATGGTTGATCAGAGCTGGGTTTGGGGACTTGACCAAGGATCCATTATTTTAAAATTACTTCCAAAATTTTGGTTGTGTGTGATGGTGAATTGACAGCGTCCCTGTGGAACTGTTTAAAATATTATGTGTAGCCCTGGCTGGTGTGGCTCAGTGGATTGAATGCAGGCCTGCGAACCAGAGGGTTGCAGGTTCGATTCCCAGTCAGGGCACATGCCTGGGTTGTTGTCCAGGTCCCCAGTAGGGGGCATATGTGAGGCAACCACACACTGATGTTTCTCTCTCTTTCTCCTACCCTTCCCCTCTCTAAAAATAAATTAAATCTTTAAGAAATATTATGTGTTAAAATGTCAAAATGCTTACATATGTTTAACCCATATTGTTGAACGTTGAGATAAGGGGCTCACTCTCACTTCAGCTTTGTCTGTTGCTTCTATTATCAGGAACATTTCTGGTCCATCCTCTCCACATGGTAAATGTCTGTCGGACGCCGGGGTTCGTGAGGGATCCAGGCATCCAGCTACTCCTTAGACCTATTTTCAAGCAGTGCCTGAACTTTCAGGCCTATCCCCTGTGTTTGCCTTCTGAGTCAGTGACCGCCATTCCCGAGCCTTTCGGGCTGCTTTTTAGTTCTTCCTCCTTCTCAGGCAGTCCCCATGTGTGCACCTGACCCACCTCCTGAAATATGTAGACATCCTTCGTCTGCTATCATCTTCCGTGCTGGGAGTTACACTTTCCTGGTCCTTGATATCATTTGGGGGGATGGGGTGCAGTTGAGAGTATATTAATTCTGTGCTATGTAACTGGAAGTCTTTCATTTGTAATTTTTTAAAGGTTTTATGTATTGTTTTGTTATAAGGCCCTTCTTATTCCTAAGTTTGTACATGCTCTTTTTTTCTTTAAAAACCCCTCACTTGGGTCTTGACTACTTTCCTGGTCTTTATGATGTACTGACTTTGGGGGCAGTTTAAAAAAATGAATTTGAATATATTTTCTAACTTTTAACATTAAAATTTTTTTACTAATTCCTAACCCCCCCATAAACCTTTATTTTATTTCTTCATCTTTTTTAAAGCTTCCTGCATTAAAATTCTAGTTTTTCCCTCCCCTTGGCTGCCTGCTTTTCTTTCTCTCTTTTAAAGCATAAAGACGTGTAAAACTCAAATTTTCTGGAGTAGGTAAGTTCTTATATTTGTTAGTAAGCATTTCAATTTCGATAATCCCTTTTCCCCAGACTTATTCAGGAAAATGTTCTATAGTTTTGAGTTGGTTTTCTTTTGGGGGCACTGGTCTTATGTTTTATTTTATAGTTTCACCGCATTAATAATGGTAGTCCGATATGAGAGAGTCTGACTTAGACGATTTCTACTTTTGTCCTCCCCCTTTTTTGTCCCCCCTTTTAAAAATAAATTTTAATTTTTGTCCGCCCCCTTTTTAAATAAATTTAAAAAATATTCCATGGTTAATTTGGTATTAGGATTAAGTAGTGATTTGTCTCATTTCTGTGTTATCGTTTCTTTAAAAAAAATACATAAAGCAAGCCTTGTTAAGCACACTTAGAAGTCAGTCCCCCGGCCTCAGCTGGGCCCGTGCCCGCAGCAGCCCGGGGGCTGCGTCTGTGCAGCCAGGGGAGCCACGGGGCCAGGATGGAGATGAAATTCCACGCTGAAAGGCTCTCCTTGCAGGCCACTGCTGAAATTACAGACGCCGAGAGTGCAACACGATCCTCTCCAGCCTCTGCTACAAATTCTTGTTTGATCTCGGGCCATATAGCACCATCTGGTCATTTGGGTGTTTCAGGAGTTTTAGCTCCAAACATTTTTGCTGCTTATCTAAGTAGCTGGGATCTGGTCCTCCTGCCGGGACCCGGCTGTCTTCTCATTGACATTGGGAACACATTTACTTTTTCCCTGGAAGGAAAACAGGGCAAGAGAGAAGTTTTTCTCCCCTCCATTTGTTTCTTGAGTTGTAGCAAGAAGGACCACAGGTTGCTTTACCCAGCTGGTTAATAAAAGTAGGTGGAATGTTTACACTGTATAAATAATGACATATGGGCAAGCGATATAGTCCCTGTCCTTGAGAAGCTCATTCATAATCCCAAGCTGGGAGGACACGGCTGGAATAGAATAGAATGACACATTGACATGGTTGATAGGGGAATATACAGGTGTTAGGAAGCACAGAGGAAGATACATTTAACTGTCTTTAAGAGTGGGCAAATGGGGAAGGTGTCAGGGAGAAGATGATGTTTAAATTGGGTCTTGAACTCGGAATAGGAGCTCGCTGGTCAGAGGTGGAGGGAGAAGCATTCGGATTGAAGGGAACATCATGACGGTGGCGTGGAGTATGAGTGGACAGCATGTGTGGGAAAGACTAGGCGGCCTCCTGACCAGAGAACACCACGTGTGGTTCGGACTTGGGAACAATGAAGCTGGAAGAGTTGGCCTCGAGTCAGACTACTGAGAGCCCCGATTGCCAGGTAGAGGAATCTGCACTTGACTCTGTTCCCAATGAGCAGTCATCGTAGGGCTCTAAGGATGGGATCAGATCCTATTTAATGTTGGTATTTCAGTTTTGGTTCTCCGTTATACATGTTTCCTACCCAAAATGCGATTTGTCTGGAGGAGGTGACTGACATTCTCTTTTCCTGACACGTGCAATTTGTGATTCAGGTTTAGACATCTGTGCCACTTGCCATGAACATGCCACCTGCAAGCAGCGGGAAGGGAAGAAGATGTGCATTTGCAACTATGGATTTGTGGGCAACGGGAGGACTCAGTGTATCGGTGAGTTCCGGATCCTGCCTTACGTGATAAAGTCTAGTGAACCTAGAAACAAGATTCTCTAGTGTTTAAGATTTTTGGTGCCCTTCGGGAGAAAACATTATTTTTCCCCCTGTTTTTATTACAAGAAGTTTTGTCAATTTATAATAAGTCTTTGTTTTAGTGTTTGGACGTATCCTGTCTCCAGTGTTTCCAAGGAAGTATTCCTCTTGTTAGAGGTCATTGAACTTGAATCTCTGAAGATTCTTTGGTCTAACACAGATTTGAAATCTAAGTCGTCTTGAGCGGAACTGAGCGACTCAAGTCAATATTGAGTTTCTTAATTTCTCTGGTTGTTTGGATGTAAAGCTACTTAAATTAAAGGCACATGCCTGGGTTGCGGGCCAGGTCCCCAGTAGGGGGCACTCGAGAGGCAACCACACATTGATGTTTCTCTCCCTCCTCTTTCTCCCTCCCTTCCCTTCTTTCTAGAAATAAATAAGTAAAAATCTTTAAAGATAAAGTACCATGAGTAAAAACAAAACACAATTGTCTGTTAGACTTTTTGGCTAATTGAAGCAACACTGTTGCTTTGAGTTTTATGTCTACCAGAATCCATCCTCCAAATTTTTTGTGGTTATGACCTTTTGGAGTCTTGGGTGACTTAGAAAATATAAAGACCTTTAGACGAGAAGCATCTGAGATCATTTTTTGCCTCCTGGTATCTACCATGCCATGAGAGTCAGATAATATCCAGGTTCAAGGCCAATCCAGAGAGAGGGAGAGTTTCACAGCAACTTTGTAATAATGAATGTTACTGTAATAACTGGTTCCTCCCAGCAACCTTGCTATATACAGTAAAAACACTGATAGTTTTGCTATGAGGTTGTGGGCTGACAGTGTACATAACTTTGTTGTGATATCTTTTTTTTTCAATCCTCACCCAAGGATATGTTTATTGATTTGAAAGAAAGAGAGAGAGAGAGAAAAAAAAAAAAAAAACCCAGAAACATTAATGTGAAAGAGAAAGGTCAATTGGTTGATTCCTCTTGGTGTACGGGAGATGCTCCAAGCAATTGAGCACTCCCCGCCCACCTTCCCCAGCCAGGCCAGGGCTCTTGTGATATCTGTGTGTTTTTTGTCTTCCTTAAAAAACAACAACAACAAGAGTTCAGTTTTGAGTTCAGAAAGCCATATTCTGCTTCAGAGCTACAAGCTTTCACAGCCACACACCGTCGCCAATTTCCACAGGCTGGACTTGTGCTTTCTCTGAGTCTCTCTAGGATTCTGCCCATGACAGGTGTGCCTGCCCAGCAGCCCAAGGTTCTCGAGGGAACTTCTTTTGTCCCCCTCCCCCACCGATTGCTAGCAGCGGCTTGGCATTGCCTTCGGAATTGAGGACCATGGATAATCCATCCTTTCCTCCTCCCTCCCCAAATGAGGTCCTCCTCCCAGGAATACTCCCTGCCCCCTCGATTGCTTTTTGACTTCTGAGCAACAGACTTCTCCCAATGGAAGGAGGGGGCCTTAGGAATTGATGTGCCACTTGCTTCCAAACACTAGACACTGCACTTTCCAGTACGTGGCCTGCTGACACCATGCCACAGATCACAGGTGAGGTTATACATGTGCCAGCAGTGCCATGACATGGTTTTATGCCAAGGGACCTAACAATTAGAGAATCTACCACAAGCCCTTCTGGTGAAGTCTGCCATGGGGGAGAGAGAGAGACATGCCTCAGAGACAATGGCAGAAATGGCAAAGGACAGGAATGACCCATTCTGGGGGCAGCCAGACTTGGGTTTGAAACCCCCATGCAGTGCTCGGTCAGCTGGGCTGGACACTTGGCCTGGCTTTGGCTTCTCTGCCTCTCTAAGTGCTCAGGCGGACCTCACCACAGGCAGTTTCAACGATGAATCACGGCCCAGGTTCCATTAAAGTTTAACAAAGGTAATATAAGAAAAATGAAAGAAAAAACCGACATCAGATTTTGGGGGGTTACTTTTTATTTTCAAGGACATGTTTATTTATTTATTTATTTATTTATTTATTTAAAAAATTTTAAGGAGATTTTATCTATTTATCTTTAGAGGGGAAGGGAAGGAGAGAAAGAGAGAAACATCAATGTATGGTTGCCTCTCATGCGTCCCTTGCTGGGAACTGGCCTGCAACCCAGGCGTGTGCCCTGACTGGGAATTGAACCTTGATCCTTTGGTTCGGAGGCCCATGCTTAATCCACTGAGCCACACCAGTCAGGGCAGCATTGCTCTTTTTTAAACCTATTATTGTCTGTGGCTGTTTGGGGCTACAAAGGCCTGTTGGAGCTGTGATAACCAGAGACCTATGGCTGGCCATTTACAGCAAAAGTTTGCTGACTCCTGGGCCGAGGACAGGGGTGGGGGAGGTGGGGCAGGTGGGGGTGGGGGTATTTACTTTTATTTTGCATCTCTATCCAATTACTGAATTAAAAATACCCAGGGCAGGCTTCTGTGGACTGGTCAAGCAGCCCATGTCCCGGTTCCGCCTCGCCGGGTGATAATATTATTCACGTGGACCACCGAGTAGCTGTTGCTGCCACGGTATCAGCCCTGCTCCCGGATGAGGCTTAAGCGCTGATGCCCTAGTTTCCCGGTGACCCAGAAGTAGCAATTTTCCCAGTTAATCACCACGTGTAAAACCGTCCTCCTCTGGCTTCCATGAAAAAAAGCAAGAAGGATGGCCGAGCCGGAAGAGTGGAATTTCTGCGGGTTAGGTTCCCCGAGGCCCATGATAAGCTCTTTCCAAATGTGGGAAAGTTCAGGAAGAGTCGCCTGCTCCCAAATACGGTGGCTTTGCAGACGGAGACTCTGGTTTCTCTCTGGCGCCACACCCGCCAAGCCCATCACTCCCAGGGGCACAGTGACGGGAAGAGGGGTCGGGGAAATAGGTCACAGCAGGTCGGCTGCACGGCGGGGGCCGACCCCGCGTGGGCTGACCTGCCGGGGCGCTGTCTCCACGGGTCCGCAGATAAAAACGAGTGCCAGCTGGGCGCCGCGGTGGTCTGCGGGAACCACACGTCTTGCCACAACACGCACGGAGGCTTTTACTGCATTTGCCTCGAAGGATATCGAGCCACAAACAACAACAAGACCTTCATCCCCAACGATGGCACCTTTTGCGCAGGTACTTGCGGAGGGGGCGCCGTGATGGCGACCTGGTGTGGCGGGGCGCGTCTGGGGGTGCGGAGGGGGCGGCAGGGCCGGGCAGCGCGCGGTGTGAGGTCGGGGAGGGGGTTCTCCTGTGAGAATATCTAGGAGGGAAATCGGACACGGCCTGAGCGTCAGTTACTATTGGAGAATTATGGTTAATTTTGTTAGATGCGATGACGGGACTGAGGTATTTAGGAGAATATTCCTAGTTTGAGGTATGTAAGGGTGTTATGACAAAGTAGCCAGTGTTACTGTATCTGTAAAGTACTTTAAATGGCAAAATATGAACAATTGTTGAATCTTGCGGGTGTGGGTCTATGGGGGTTCACTGTAATATTCTCTTCTTTGTTCTGTGTGTTTGATCGTTTTTATAGCAAATAGAAAGGAGGGATTCTCAGAGACGGTGTGCCGTCTGCAGGTTCCCGTGACATCGTGGGGCGTTTGTTCTGGGGGTGACCAGCACTCCCCAGCTCCCTGCCTACTGCCCACTAAGTTCCCGGGGCCAGGAACTGTGATGTGGGCTCCTGGCTTCGGAGAGCCACTCCTATTAGGGGCATGGGTTCACCTCCCTCAAGGAATAAGCTGAGTGACGAGTGTCACTTTTCTGACCATAATAGCTTAACCGGTCTGATTTCTGGGCATATGTTGGTTGAAATCAAGGGGTGGGCAAAACCCTCCTAATTTTCAGCAGCCCCTGTACTGTCTGAACTGTGCTTGCAGCCAAGATAATATAGCTCTTGGTTTTCTTAGAAAATCTTTGAACACTAATGAAGAGGAAAGGCAGGAAGAGACTGCTGATTCTAAGACGGGTTTATACAGACTTAATGACTCTGCTTAAAAGCTTTGCTATATTTAAAGGTTTTCAGGGAAAAGAAAGGGAGACGAGAACATGGACTGTCTTCTTACTCACCAGGATGCTCTGATTCCTTCTCCCTCTTGACCTGCACCACAGTTCAGGCCCCTCCGAGGGTCCACTTGATTTATTCTTGGCACGAATGGGCACATTCCTTCCAAGAAGACATTTTATAATAATACCCTGTTGTTTTAGACAGCAAATTACTTGCCATAGGGTTGCAGAAGTACAATGCCGCAGGATGAAATTAGGTAGTTTTTTTTAAAGATACCATTAAAAAAAAAACAAACCTTACGAGAAGATGATCTGGTGTTCAGTTCACTCAGTACATATTCCCCATGCCCTTCTGTGCTCCTGGCGAAGACATAGAGGGTGACACAGACAGTTCATTTCAGAATGAAGTGTTAATGATTGTTAGTCAGTAGAGGGGGCTTACGGGAACCCAGAATCCACAGGGGCACTTACCTTGGAAGTGGAAAAGGGGTCGGGGAACCTTCTGGAGGACACCTGGAATTGTGTCCTCGAGGTTTTGGGAGTTTTCTAGGGAAAAGCTTTGTCACGATGTCACTATAGTTTGCAAGGATGCATTCTACTCTTCAAACCGAGAAAGAAAAAAAGTTTACGCAAGGGTCACCCTATTGGATGTCTGCCTGATAAGAACCAATCTTTCTGGAATAAAATTTTGATCTGGGCCTTGCTTCTATTTATTGTACTTCTTGTAATTATTTAGTGACCTTTTCTTTAAAAAAAATTGAGATGTAGTTTACATTCCATAACATTTAGCCCTTCGAAATACACAGTTCAGTGGTTTTTAGTTGTATTCACAAAGTCGAGCAGCCGCCACCGCTTTCAGATGTTCTAACATCTCCATTGCCCCAGAAAGAAGCCCCACGTCCATTGGCGATAGTTCATTTCCATGACCTTTCCTCCACAAAGCTCCCGCTATCACTCTGTGAAAGCTGAGGGATTACTTTTCTTGATGATACTGAGTTTTTGTTTTTGTTTTTCAAAATCACAGTTGCTATACAACCATCAGCAGACTTTAGCTGCAGCAGAGGCATAGCAGGTTTCGGGGTATCAGCAGTTAGTCAGCGTTTGCCTGGAACCAAAGGATGTAAATCATAGTTCTTGACTTATGAGGAATCCAGAGACCTGATGTTCCTCATACTTTGCAGAGTTCAAGTCAAGTTCAGGAGCTGGTTGCATGCAGGCCTCTTTGGATGTCGCCAAGGTTAGATGACGAATGAGGGCAGGGGTTCTGGTGCAGGGGTTCCCGCTCTGAGAGCCTGCAGATGTTCTGGCCCCAGGGCTGCCCCCCGGAGGACTCCTGGGGATCACGGAAACTTCACCCTGTGCCACAACCCACAGGAATAAGCTCTGGGGCCCTTCCAGTGTGGCAGCACTTTGACTCGAGCGGGCGGAGAGCAGGCGGAGAGAAATGAGACCGCTGTGGAATTAAGGCCTTGGGAAAGAACCCGCCATGTCTGTGTTCTGGGGCTTGAGCAAGTAAGAAGCAAGAGTACAGTGTGGGGGATGCTAACCTGCAGGGCACTCAGGGTGCCCCCCCCCTCCCTGAAGGGGCGAAGGCCTCTGACATTTTGGGGGCAGAGCTTTGGTACAGCATCTTTTGATTCAAAATTCAATGAGACAATTGTAATAGCATAATCAATAAAATATATTTTTAAAAAATTCTTGGCCTGAACACTTAAGATCAGTGCATTTTATTGAATGTAAATTACACCTGTCTTCAAAAATACTAGATATAGATATACGATTCATTTTTTAAAAATATTTTATTTATTTTTAGATAGAGGGGAAGGGAAGAAGAAAGAGTGGGAGAAAAACATCAATGTGTGTGGTTGTGTCTCATGTGTTCCGTATGGAGACCTGGCCTGTAACCCAGGCATGTGCCCTGACTGGGAATCTAACCAGCGACCCTTTGCTTCACAGGCCTGTGCTCAATCCACTAAGCTACACCAGCCAGGGCTACAATTCATTTTAAATTAAATATCCAGAATTTTTTTTTTAATCTTTTTATTTTTATTTTTATTTTTGGTTTAAAATTAAAAAAAAATTTTTTTTATTGATTATGCTGTTACAGTTGTTCTATTCCCCCCTTCATTCCCCTCCTCTCTACCCCCCATCCCCACCATTACCCCCCCTTTAGTTTATGACCATGTGTCTCAAGTCCTTTAGATTCTATATTTCCCATGCTATTCTTGCCCCCCCATCTATTTTCTCTCTACTGTCTATGCTACTTATTTTCTGTACCTTCTCCCACCTTCTCCTCCTCCCACTCCCCTGTTGCTAACCCTCCTTGAGATCTTCATTTCTATGTTTCCACTCCTGATCTAGCTGTCCTTTTAGTTTGCTTTCGTTTTAGGTGTGGTTGTTAATAATTGTGAATTTGCTGTCCTTTCACTCTTCATGTTTCTTTAACTTCTTTTTCTTCAATAAGTCCCTTTAACATTTCATATAATAAGGGCTTGGTGATGATGAACTCCTTGAATTTGATCTTATCTGAGAAGCACTTTATCTGTCCTTCCATTCTAAATGAAAGTTTTGCTGGGTAGAGCAATCTTGGTTGTAGGTCTTTGGATTTCATGACTTGGAATACCTCTTTCCAGCCCCTTCTTGCCTGTAAGGTCTCTTTTGAAAAATCTGCTGACAGTCTGATGGGGACTCCTTTGTAGCTGACTGTCCCCTTAGCTCTTGCTGCTTCTAGGATTCTCTCCTTCATTTTAATTTTGGCTAATGTAATTATGATGTGCCTTCGTGTATTCCTTCTTGGGTCCAACTTCTTTGGTACTCTCTGAGCTTCCTGGATTTCCTGGAAGTCTATTTCCTTTGCCAGATTGGGGAAATTCTCCTTTATTATTTGTTCAAATAAGTTTTCCACTGGTGGCTGTGTCTTTCCCCCTTCTGGTACCCCTATAATTCAGATGTTGGAGCGTTTAAAGATGTCCTGGAGGTTCCTAAGACTCTCCTCATTTCTCTGAATTCTTGCTTGTTCACTCTTTTCTGTTTGGCCATTATTTGCTTTCTTCTGGTCCACTCCATTGATTTGAGTCCCAGTTTCCTTTTCATTGCTATTGGTGTCCTGTGCAATTCCATTCATTTCAATTAGTTTCGCCTTCATATATTTGTCTAATTTGTGGCTATAATCAACCAGTTCTGTGAGGATCCTGATCACCAGTGTTTTAAACTGTGCGTCTGAGAGTTTTGCTATTTCTTTATCGCTTAGATCTATAGGCTCTGAGGCTTTGAGATCTTCTTGCACCATTTTTGGTCTGTTCGGGCCCTTTAAGTGTGAGAAGCAGCGCCTTGGACTCCCAGGTTGCTGGGTTGTGACGCTGTATGTGGGGGCGTGGTCAGAGCGGGGAAATGGCGACCCCCTCTGCTGTTTCTCACAGCTGGGTGAGGATTAGCGCCTTAGGTGGTTCACCTGGGCCGGGCCACTCAGAGTCGCTGGGTTATGACGCTGTATGTGGAGGTGGGGTCAGAGCAGGGAAATGGCGGCGCCCTCCGCTGCTGCTTGCCTCGGGGACCACCCACTCCTTCGCCTGTCCACCCGCGCACAAATGCGTGACCACAGTCAACACGCAGCCCTGCTCCCCCGCTGTCTCCCCCACGGTCGTTCACCTGGTCGCTTGCTCGGTCGCTCACCAGGTCCAACCCTGCGCCTGGATTCCGCGCATCTGGATTCTGCGCCTGAGTCCGTCTGACCGAGTTTTCCTGTGCAATCCCGCTTCACCAGCCACTGGTGTTGCCCCTTACCGGTCAGGCTGAAGAATTTGTTGTTAACGGACTTCTGAAAAGTTCAATTTTCCATGTTCTGGCTATGTTTTCTGTTGCTAATATTTAGTTGTCTCTAAACTTGGTTGTGTGAGAAGGCACGGCACATCCACCTATGCCTCCATCTTGGCAAAGTCCCCTTAAATATCCAGAATTTATTATATGGCTGTACTATGCTACTTAACTGATTTTCCTTATTGTGATGTTTCTCTAGGGTTGTTTTATTTTTTTAAATTTTTTGGCTATTGTAAGAAACGCTGTCAGGTACATCTTGCACTTAGAGCCTTACAAATAATGATCTCCTTTTACACATTTTGAAAAAATGGTTTCTGTGTCAAAGGTACACATTTTGACACATAGTGCCAGACTGTCTTCCAGAAAGCTCACAGCAGTATTCTCCTTGACTGCTCATTTCACGAAAGTGTGCGGTTCCTCACATCCTTGCCAACACTGGACGGTGTTCATCCATGATGTGAGTGTAACGGTCCTGATTTTAAATGGGTGTGTGTATTTTCCTCTCCTGTGGCTTAGCTGAATTTGGCATTTGAGGCAGGAAGGTGGCAGGAAGAAAATTTGCTCTCCAAGTTGTGAAGGATTCATTTTTGTCTCACCTAACTTTGGCGGAGTTGGGAGGATCTAGTTCATAAGCAGCAATAGGGAGAAAAGTTGGCCCTGCGAGCATTTTCATGAGCTTGGAAGTTCTTAAATGTACTTTTCTGGTCAGGTCTCTTCTAAGTCTTCACATGTTAAGGACTTCTCAAGACAAGGGCTAGTGTTTAATGGGTATCCACAGGCTTCTTTTTAAACTTTGGCCTCTTTAGCCTTCCTGTTCCAGTGCACACTCCCCCAGATGGACTTTCTGTTTCTGCCTGGGGGCATTCAAGTCCAGTGGACCGAGGCAGGCGGCCACGCCCCAGACCTCGGCAGCGTTGCTCACGTCCACGCTGAGGCTCAGGTATGAAGGAGTGGCTTGTGCCCCAGGGAGGTATGAGTCAGCAGAGAGACTCATTCATGTATTAGCTAACATTCGCAGGACCGATGGTCTGCTAGACACCGGGCTAAGTGCTTTCCACATGTTTTATTTAATCCCCACGCACAAAAAAACAACACAAAACCCCTGCTATAATTAGCTTCATTTTGCAGAAGTAGTTTAGAAGGGTTAAGGAACAGACATCAGTATATCTAGTAAGTAGCAGCATGAGTTCTCAAACCTGGGTCCTCCTGACTTTCAAATCCATGCTGTTTATTGAAAGGGCTAAATATAGAACACCCGGCCCCTGGGGCCAGGTCAGAGTGTCCTGCTCAGGTTAGCTACTTCTTAGCAAGAAATTGTTCTGGCTGTGTATAAAATTTAATAATTCAATGTATTGAATAGGAGACAGGGAATTTCCCCCCTTGATTAGTTATGTTAATAAGATTGCTGAGAGCATTTTTTTTCTTCACAATCAAACATGTATAACCTTGGAGACCCCATGGAATTTACCAGTATGTGGAGAAGTTGTTCCTATAAGCTTAATGGGTTTATCCAGCCGAGATGCTAGAATAGGTTAGAAAAGGGACTGTTTGCGAGCATAAGAGGTAGCAGGGAATTGAAGGTCAAAGTCGTGTCATACTCATCTTAGTGAGACACAGTAGAAAGATCTAGATGTCACTAAGGCAACTGATGACGTTCTCTGTGGATGGGGAGTTATCGCCTGGATGTTCACGCAATTAGATTTTCATGGGAGGGACAGCGGGCGTAGTGGTCAAGAGCATGGTCTCCGGAGCCAGACACCCACCCGGCTTCCAATCCTGGTGTCCCACTCCTCACCTTTGTGACTTCTGTCCAGTTATCCACCCACTCCGTGCTTGTGGGGAGAGTCATAGCATCTGCCTCCCAGGTTATTCTGAGGACAAAATAAGAGAGAAATAATCAGCAATAAATAATGAGGGTTTAGAACAGTGCCTAGTATGTGCAAGATGCTGTGCAGAAGTAGTTATTAACAATCATTATGACAATTATTTTTATTAGGTTGTTGAATGACCGAACACACAGCAAACTGATATGGACTGTAGCAACCCATGCAGAACTGATCGGTATCTTGAAACTTTAAGTATTTTGCAGACCCCTGCTGCTTAGCCACACTTTTTGCCCTGTAGTTACTTGTACTGCCCATTTTTAGAACTCTTCCTACAACGACAACAACAACACTAGTTCCCACTGTCTTTTCAGGAGTCTGGAGCAGGTGGACAGGCTGTGTCAAAGCTATGCACACATGTTTTACACATCCCTCAGCGAGATTAAAGCTTTTATCAAGATTTTTCCACGGATGGATCAAATCTACAAACACATGTATTCTGCCATGTTGAAAGCATCTCTGAAGTTTGTCCTAGATTGAGATTGAATTTATTTTCCGCTATCTTTATTTTAAGCATCATGATTTTACTGTCAGCAGTTGTTAACCCTCAGTTTTACCGGTTTCATTTCTCAACCCTCTTTGCTGTGTTTAATTATGTCTTCCTCCTGCCATTATTTATTCTGATGTTTTTCACTGGCTTCAGTGTTTTCTCGAAATCTTTTTTCAGGAAAGAAATGTCAGCAGTAAGAGTTCCGAGACCATTCACATTCTAAAAGGTCATTCCTTTGTATACACAGAGCAGGATGTTTTGCTTTGTTTTTCTTAGAACTCTGTCTGCATCCCTCCCTGGTTGTCCAGCCATCCGTGTGTCAGACAGACAGACAGCCCAGGTCGGATGGGTTCTCTCTTCCTCATCAATGGCTACCTCTTTCTCTCAGGGGCTTTATAAAAGTTCCCTTTATTCCATGAAGTTCAGAAGGACTTTCATTTTTCAATATTCGTGCCTGTCCATGGTCAGGGCTACTTGGATTTGAACACATGAGCTGAGGGGTTTCTTAATATTAATTGTTGTACATGTACTCTATTCTCTCCTGCAGTTCCTCTAAGATGAATACGGATGGTTGCCACGTGGAATGAGGATGGGAAAAAAGAGTATAGTGTAAAAATATAATCTAAAAAAGTAAATGGATACTGAGTATTTGGGACTGGTCCTCATATCACTTTTTGTCCTCTGTTCCAGCTCATGTAGTTTCTTACTCTGTGTGCTTTTGGAGAACTCCTCAAGTTCGAATCTGCACATTTGTTTTTCAGTGTTGGTCGGTTATTATTGGTCCCATCATTCACTGTCTCTATTGATTGGGTTTTTATTTTTGGCATTCATATTTTGTTTTTAAAACGTAAAAGACCTCTTGTTTTTTTAATTACTAGTTCTCTCTTAATCTTGTTTGGGCTTCTGTGTCTCTTTATATGTCAAAACTGTCTTAATGAGCTCTGGCTGGTGTGGCTCCATGGACTGAGCGCTGCCCTGAGAACTGAAGGATCACCGACTCGATTCTCAGATGGGGCAGGTGCCTGGGTTGCGGGCCAGGTCTCCGACCGGGGCCACTCGAGAGGCAACTGATGGACTGATGTTTCTCTGCCTCTCTCCCTCACTTCCCCTTCCTCTAAAAATGAATAAAAATCTTATTTTAGAAACTGTCTTAATTATCTATTACTACATGGCTCTACCCCCCCTCCCCCTTAACTTTAGTGGCTTAAAACAGCAATTATTTGTCACAATTCCATGGCTGGGTGGCTTTGTCACTTGTGCGCATACACCCAGCTGGGGGCTGGGCGGGGCTGGTGGGTCAGAGAAGGCCTCTTTCACAAGTCTAGGGCCCTGATGCAGATGATCAGCCAGGCACGTTAGTTCTCCTCCATGTGGCCTCTCTCTTCATGTGGGGTCTCACCTTTTAGGGCCTCTCTCCCAAGTCCCATAGCCTGGATTTCCTTTGAGCATGGCCACCGCTGGCATCTAAGAGAGGGAAAGAAGAAGCTTGTAGGTGTCTTCATAGTCATTTCCAGAGCAAGCACGGTGTTACTTCTGCCCCATTCCATTGGCTGAGTCCCAAAGCCAGCCCAAGGGGAGTGGGGATGGCTTCCACTCTTGACAGGAGGAGTGGCATGCAAGGAAGGGAGAGGAAGAACTGTTGCCAGGCATCTTTGACGACAGTCTCCCACAGAGAGTTCCCCAAAGTTAGCTGTACTACAAGTGCAGGTTAATCAGAATGGGTAGCTTGTGTGGGCTCCTTCAGCAACTGAGTGAATTACCAGTTCCCAAGCAAAGATCAGTGATTGATGAGGTTTTCATTGGTCCAAGACCCAAAACAAAGCAAAACAAGACAAAACAAAAACCCCCAAACAAACAAACAAAACAAAGAAAAAGGACAAAATAGTGAATTTCAATAAAATTATGTTAAATTTAAAAGGATAGAGATCATTTTCTTCCTTTTTTTAATGAAATTATGGTGTTAGTAATTTTGGGGGGGGGAAGGTTTTTATCTGGCAAAATGGAATATTGGCCACCTTTGGTGGCCCTTCCAAAATCCCTGGTCTTTGACATCCCAGAGTCTGGGAGCAGCCAGACTTTCTGCAGTCACGCTGAGCCCTGGGTAAGCCCCATGGAGGTCCCCCGCACCAAGTCCTGGGACACGCCCCGCTTCACTTAAGGTGCTTTTATTCTCCCAGTGAAGCAGGTGGGCGTGGCTCTGATTTTTGTTGCGAAGCCCGTTTGGGGCGGGGCTGAGGGGCTGCTAACTAGCCCAGAGGGTTCTCTTTCAGACTCTGAATTAGTGTGTGTTCTTCTGCCAAGCAGCACGTCTTACCCTTCTTGGAGCCTGTTTTAAACCCTGGTTATCTTGGTAAAACTAGTAAGACCCTTCTGAATGAGCCCCTTACTACCTGTCTTACTATCCTATGTTCATTTTTGAAAGCATTATTCACTCTTGTGTAAATTGTTTTGTATTTGGAGTTCTTCAGATATTTTTAGCGTGAGGTGGAGGCTGTCCTTACTTTATAGTAATGGAATTTTTCTAGCATACTTTTTTGGTTCATCTTACTCAGTGTCAGAGAGTTGGTGATGGTTCTCAGTTTGTATAAATCCCCATAACAAGGTCACAGGTACTCACTGAGCACCTCTTACTGAAGGATATATGAGAAGACCCATCAGGTACTGAAATAAAATTCATGATACAATTGCAAATAAAGGCACCCATTTGTAAGTGAAGACCGAGAATGTGAAAAATGGCTGTCGTAATGTCGCGTTCCCCGACCCCCACACACCTTTTTTTCCTTTTTCTGTATTTTCTCTCCCTCTTATGTTTGGGATGGGTCTCCAGACATAGATGAGTGTGAGGTTTCCGGCCTGTGTAGGCAAGGAGGACGGTGTGTGAACACTCACGGGAGCTTTGAATGCTACTGTATGGATGGATACTTGCCAAAGAGTGGGCCCGAGCCCTTCCACCCGACCAGAGATGCCACAGCATGCACAGGTGGGTTTCTGCAGCCTGGGACAGTGAGCTGCTGTGGGTGGTGACACTCTCTCCCTCCAAGCCTGTGTCTGTGGGTCTGTGTTGGGGATCTTTAGTTCCTTTGCACATTTATTCCATCTGTGAAATAAGCAAATGACACCATAATCAAGATAGAAGGGACTATATTAAAAAGCCAAAATTAGTAAGCTTGAGGGATTTCTAGCCCTTCATAGATTCTCTGATATTAACCGTTTATGTGAGCTTGCAAACACAGCTGATCTGGTGAGGACCAGCTTCTCAAAAGTGACCCTGAAAATTATAAAGGCATATATGTGTTAAGGGACTTTGCAATGCAGCCTTTTCACTGCATTGGACTAAGCGTCTCTTTAGTTAGTATAAGTTAGTGAGGGTCGATGGCCAAATTCTTTCAGCTTTGCGCATGTATAGCTGCTATTACTGATAGAAAAGCCAGAAGATGGAACACAGATAGACATGGGAAATGTGCCCAGAAGTCATGTGGAAATGAACCATTCTATTTAAAACATGGCTGGGGTCTGTGTGTGTAGGGAGGGGGAATGGGGCAGGGGGAGAGAGAGATTCTGAATTTTGAAAATTCATATTCGCACAGTAATGAGTTTAACATTAATTTATTTTCAGAAATAGACTGTGGCACCCCTCCCGAGGTCCCAGATGCCTATATTGTAGGCAATTATACTTCCACGCTTGGCAGCCAGGTTCGTTACACTTGCAGAGAAGGATTTTTCAGTGGCCCGGAAAATACAGTTTCAAGCTGCACAGCCTTGGGCACGTGGGAGTCCCCCAGAGTAAACTGCCAAGGTGAGTTTTCAGAAGGCTCAGGTTCACAGCTTATAGCATGTTGAGATTTTCATATTTCTCTCTTAAATTTCTTTGGGGGGTGGTGAATGAATTAAATAAACCCATTTTTTTCACAGCTTATAGCATGTTGAGATTTTCATATTTCTCTCTTAAATTTCTTTGGGGGGTGGTGAATGAATTAAATAAACCCATTTTTTTCGCCTAATAGGTTTTCAGTTGATTCTTGGGTTTTTCAGGAATAGTGCCCTGTCATCTGCAAATAATGATAATTACATGTTTTTTTTTCTCAACGCTTAATAAAAGTTATGTTTTTCTCTTCATCGATCACTTGGCTGGTGCTTTCCAGAACAAACATTTAAATAGCAGTGCTGACTTTGAATATTGTTGTCTTATTCCCGACTTTCATGGCAATGGTTTCAGGGTTTCATTATTCATTCATGAACTTGGCTTTCGATGTTATATATGTATCTACTTGTGTTCTTATATACACTGCCACCTCACTGAGTGCTTGGTGCTGTTCTCAGCACTTGTGTATTGACTCATTCAGTCCCGACAGGGTCCGCATGAGAAAACTGAGGTGCACGGAAGTTAGTTTGTTCAAGGTCATACGAAGAACGGTGCAGGCATTCTAATTTCAGAGGTTGTGTTCTTCATCACATTGGCACACTACTTCTGTTTTTATCATCATGTTGAGTTTTGGTTTGTTTTCTTTTTTTGAAATTATGGTGTTAGTAGTTGTTTGGGGAAAAAAAGTCGTCTTTTAAAAAATTAAATTTATTGGGGCGACATTGGTTAACATGATTAGGTAGGTTTCCAGTGTACATTTCTGTGGTACATGACCTGTCTATTGCGTTATGTGTCCACCATCCAAAGTCAGATCATCTTCCGTCACCATGCATTTGGCTTCCTTTACCCTTCCCTGCCCCCACGCTTCTTCACTGGGGCGGCTACCACACTGCTGTCTGTGCCTTTGAGCTTGTTGAACATCCTACGTATGAGTGAAATCATATGCTTCTTAGCTTTTTCCAACTGGCTTATTTCACTTAGCATGATATTCTCAAGGTCCAGCCATGTTGTTGCAAATGGCAGTATTTCACCTTTTCTTGTGACTGAGTAGTAGTCCACCGTGTGTACGTACCACATCTTCATCCAGTCCTCTGTTGAGGGAACAGTTTGGTTGGTTCCATGTCTTGGCCATTTGAGTTGTTTTCTACTTTTGGCTTTTTCTCTCTTCACTTATTACCATATTTACTAGTTTTTGCTTATATATACATGAACTAAAGGAAGCATTCATTTGTTCTCGTTTTGCTAGGATTTTTAAAAATCAGAAATGTTATTTTTTACATGTCTTTTGGGCATGTATTAAGGTGATCATATATATTTTTTCTCCTTTTAAGCAGTCATATAAGGAGTTATATTTTTAGATTTCTTGAATGATCGATAGTAACTGCTGGAATGGATTCTTCTGGGGATTTTTGTGTTTTATTTTTTAGTGTAGATTATATTTGTTAAATTTTACTTAGAATTCTTATATTGATATTCATAAATGAGATTGGTCTATTTTCTATTCTTTATCATCTATATGGGTTTCGTATTAAGGTTATTCTGAATTTAAAAAAAAAGAATGTGAGAGAATTTCTTTTCCTTTTCTCTAAAGTAATATAAATAGAATTTTAAAAGATTTGGGAGATTTCATCTGAAAAACTACCTGGATGTGGTACTTTTGGAGAGCTGGCCAATTTTTTTTTAAATTTATAAATTCTATACTTAATGGCCACTTAAGGTTTGTAATCCTTTTTTGGTATCCATTTGGATAATTTACATATTCTTAAAAATCATCTATTTCATCCAGATTTTTAAACTTACTTGTAGAGAGAAATAGAAAGCACTCATACTTTGAATTTTTCTGAAGTACTATTTATTTATCATTATTTATAATAGTGAAATATTGGACATAATCCCAAACGCTTATCAATAGGAGATTGGTTAAATAAATTATGACATATACATAACATGGAATATGAGATAGTCAATAAAAGTTCTGTTGAAAAAGAACATTTCTCCGCACAGGTGAGTATTAATAGTATGTTGCTGAGTTGAAACTATGTAGGATGCCATCTTGCTTTCAAAGTAGTTCAGGGAGGCTTATGAAGCAGGATAGAGAACTGTGCACCGAAATGTTAGCAGTGGTCACTGCCACTGGGAGGGGTCCTGGAAGGGTTTTATATTTCATATACTTTCTGTATTGAAGGAGTTTTTAACATATAACAAAGCTGTTTCCATTTTTTGAACGGAGAAGAAAACCTCGGTTTTCATTGAATGTATTGTACAACTAAGAAACCTCAGTGATGTGCTTGGCTGAGTTAATCCTTTTGCTATTCCGATGTATGACTCCCAACTCTAAACACATTTTAATAGTTAGTTATTATCCCAGGGGTTAAGAAATTCTAAAAGTATATTTTAATTCTAACATTATCTTTCCGTGGATTGATCAAAATTCAGAACTTAGCTCACAATGTGTCGTAACGTATTTCCGAGACCTCCCTAAGGATTTACATAGGAAACCCCATGTCCGACAGTTTGTATTACTTTGAAAATTGGATTTCCCTCTGGATTATGGACTGAGAATGGTGAAGGTTAGAGAGTGTATGTGACGCCCCCCAGAGCCCTGCTGTTTGGAAGATCTTCACTTCTTTCTTCCCTCCTCTAATAACTGCTCTCTGCCTGCTGACACCCTCCTCCGCCTCCCGCATGTCACCTCATGGCCACCGCTTCTCAGGGCCGTGCCTGCTGCTCTCAGAAGCACACCCCTTCTTATTTATCCTTCAGTCTTCTGTGGGCCTCCAGAATCTGGGCTGTGTGCCAGCCAGCACTGTATTTTTAGCTCAGAGTTATAAAGCCACAGGAATTGAGAATTCCACTAAGAACACAAGCAAACTGTGAACTTGGAGGCTGCGGAGGGGCAGGTACTTGTGGAGCGAGCAGCTGTGAGTTTCAGATGGCAGCGCGTGTCCTAGGACAGACTTCCCCGCCAGAGGAGGTACCGTTTGTGTTCTTCCAGTTACTGTGTCCTTGGTGGCTCTGCTGGGAGCCTGTGACATGGGTGCCCCAACTCCGCGGGTCTCAGAGCTGGGAGCAGGGTCGAAAGGTTGCTGCAGTCCCCTCTTCCTATGTAGGTAGGACTTTGCAGAAATGTCATCCACACATTTCCATCAACCATCCTGAAAAGATAGTATCTCTACCTTGCATTTTCTATTATCTTGTTATTGTTGTTATTATTTTTTTAATTTTCGCAAAAGATGCAAGGTGTAAGTTTTAAAAAATTCAACCAAGCCAGGAGCAAGGTGAGGGAAGCACTTGAACTGTGTTATCTATCGTCAGCAACCGACCCGGAGTCCCGGTCTCGTGTCCTGTAGGGCAGGTCCTGTGGCTGAGAAAGCCTGGCGTCTGGGAGGAGAGAAAAGGCAGCTACTATTACAGAAGGGCGAGCGCCGGCATGTATGAGAGAAGAGGGGCAAAGACTGGGAGAGCTGCGATGGGGACGTGGGGCGGTCACCTGGAAGAGGGGGCGTGTGCCTCCTGGGTGAGAGTCCAGTGAGGGGGAGTGGTTTGCAGTGTGGGCACACCGGTGGGGCGATTCCAGGAACGTCTATTATCCGGATATGCTCTCCTGCCGGATGAGGCTGTACCTTCCTTTCCAGCTGGGATTCCTATCAGCCGTGTGTCTGGTGTGACCCGTCCCTATCAGAATCTTCGACACCTGCTTCCTCTGGCCCATTCTCCACACAGTAGCCAGAACAAACCTCTCGAAACTTAAATTGGATTATCCTCTCTCCTTGCTTAAAACCCATCTAAAAACACTGAAATGGCTCCCAACCATGACCTTGAAAGCCAACAGGGGTTTGGCCTTTTTGGCTTCTCCGCAAGTTCCATCTCCCATTGCTCCCAGCTGACACTTCGAGCTCTTCCCAGCCTGCAGGGCCTCCGTTCATGATTTCCCCTCTACTTGAAATGCTTACCCACCCCCTTAAAAACTGTTTTATTGTGGTCGAATACACATAATGCAACACTGTAGCTAGTTAGAAGCCTGCGGTTCAGTGGCAATAAGTACATTCCAGTGTTGGGCAGCCATGGCCATTACCCACCTTCAGAATGTGTGTGTCACCCTGAGCAAAACTCCGTGCTGCTTATTAATTACAAGTCGTGGTTCCTGTCTCCCTCTAGCCCCTGGTGACTTCTGTTCTACTCCTTGTCTCCATGCATTTATACCTCAGGTACCTTGTATATGTGGACTCATACAATACGTCTGGTTTATTCAACTTAACTTTGTCTTCAAGGTTCATTCCTTTTTAAGGCCGAACAATGTTCTGTTGTACACTTTGTTCCTCCATCTGTTGATGCCGTCTCTCTGTTCTTAGCATCCTTCACATCTTTCAGTTTGCAGCCCAAATGTTACCTCTCACATTGTCGTCTTTCTCAGGATGCAGGGTGTAAGTGTATTATCATTGTTTTTGTGGTTTATATCGATTGCTCTTACATATGGACTGGACATCTGGCAGCTCAGTGACGACACTGTCTTCTTCAGCATGACCTTTCCAGCGCCCGACACATAGCTTGGCGTACCTGAGGCCTGTGGACGCATCCTGAATCCCCCCCAGAAGGTGCCCCGGGCAAAGGCAGACATTGTGGTACTGGCTCCTGAACTGCTGCCTCGGTTTATCCTGCCACTGAGCCTCACTGAAAGCCTGGCTTCTCATTTTGTTTTTCCCCTCAAATTTCACATCTTTCCTGATTCTGTACCATTGTACTTTGCCTTCTGGACCTCCACGCTTGCTGCTCACAGGGCCGGGCATCTCCATGTTCGATAAACTGGGGACAGGGCCTTGGGGCCAACTCCTGCTCCCCCCCCCATGCCCATGGCCCTCACGGAGGGACGGCCTGCTGACCTGAAGAGGCAGAGTTTCTCCTCTGAGTTGGTTAACAAGGGTGGGACGTGTTTT